CCTTTTTTTTGGGGGGGGGGGAAGGGCTCCATAATACTTAACAATTACCAAATTGTCATTACACCACAATTTGAAAAGATGCTTTTCTCCTTTCCCTCTATCCTGGACACCTCTGTAAGTTGGACACATTATCGTGGAACCGCAAGTGTCCAAGTTAGAGATGTTTTACTGTATAAGTCCTATAATTGGTTTCACAGGAACGTAGGCTATTTTCTCAAGTATAAGTGGTATAGAATCAAAGATAACGCATATAATACTTAACTAAAATAAGTGATTTTTTTGGTTTACTATACAGAAGGCTGTGTGGCTTTATATGCGAAACTCCGTTTTGATTGCGTGTTGTCATGTATACGGATAATATTTATTTTATATTTAGTTTATTTAACGACTATGTAGCGTCGAATTGTGAACTGGAATAGATGTGGAAGGAAGCACAATTTGCCTGGAAGGACTGAGGAACACCACGAAGAACCTTAGCATAGCCGATTGCCGGGCCGAGATTTGAACTCGAGATCTCCTGAAAACAAAGCAGAGTGCTAACTCGACCAGAAAGTTTGATCCCACGGATAATAAAGATAATAGGAACCTGTCTTTCCATGGGACACTACACTTCGTGGTGGGAGGGTTGCGTGTTCTAAGGAAGCTGGAAGCTATGCCGGCTGGAGCGTAGGTTCCTGGCAGTAACCCTAGCCGGACAGGCCCTGGCAGGGGAGCCAGACGACGTGTGCCCAACAACGATAGAGCAGGGAGCTCTTTAGGCATAGTGAAGCCAACCCACCAAAAGGTAGTAAATCCTGACAGAAAATCCCGGCCCTCCAGGTTCGAGGGCTGTGTGGAGGGTTGGTAGCCCTCCACAGAAAAAGTTATTTACTCGTAAGCTTCAAAGAACAGCCGGAGAGACTTGGTAACAAACTTGATAAGAAAAGGACAAACGATCCGGTATAAAGGATGCAACAAAATGGCGAACTGGATTGCAAGTGGCCTAGGAACCAAGGATACTGAGTTGGATAAAGAACTTAAGAAAAAGAAAACAAATTGTGCCATTATAGCAGAAACAAAAAAATTTAGAAGGAACAAAATTTTGTAGAAATATGCTCTAAAATACAGAGTGAGTCAGAAGTATGTTTGAAAACGTGTACGTGTTCCTGGATCAGAAATGAGAAAAAAAATTCCTATGAAAATGTGGTCGCAAATGCTTCTTTTTCCACCTTCTCTACTCGGTTTGCTCTGATACTTAGGGTTTTTATCTCAACGTACGCTTAAGGAGCTGTTGATTGAAGATATCTCGCAGAAGTTGATGCTCAGTTCTGAAGTCAGAACGTTCGTCCAGTCCGAACGTTCCTTTCAAACTCAAAATATTTTTTTTATAAACGAATAATATAGCTCAGGTGAACCAAAACTTCTCTTACACTATCGTCTACTTTATTAAACCATTTCAAATAGATACAATAGCCCTCAATTTAGGCTGTACACCTCCAATCACACAAAACTCAACAGCTGTCACAATCTCAACACGCATGCACGACGTCTACACTCTTAAAGCGACTCCACAATAGTAAAACTGAGAAAACAATATTATGACTTGCTCAAGCGACCTTACGTCAAAAGAATAACTAAAGTATACAAACATTTCGAAATAAATTAACAATTGGTATATGTGAATCTCCTTGATCTTGTAAATCATAAATCGCAAAATTATGCCAGATATCACCAACAATAGAATCCAGAAATCAAAAACTACCACATGTCACAAGTCATAAATTTCAAACTAATTCAAGCCTTAAAATGCCAACAATAGATGTGGAGTGCGCCCACGGACATCAAAGTAAGTTTTGCATGGTAACAATTTCTAGAGGAAACATATATAAAAAAATCCAAAAATATGTGTAGCACTATCAGGCGTACACTTAAAGGGAAATCTCGGAAAGATACACAAATGAAGTTTTATAAAGTGATGGCTATTTCTGCACTACTATAAGAAACTGAATTTTGAACAATGATGAAAGGAGACATACAAAAATTACAAAGAACTGAAATGCGATTTTAAGATCTGTGAAAGGATGTGCAATTTTGAACAGAATCAGTAATAGAAATATAAAATAAGAATTAGGAGTATTTTCAATTAATTACAATAAAAGTACATAAACAAGATTGAATAGAACACGTAGAATTGATAGAAAAAGAACGAATACCGAAGCAGGTCCTTTGATATGAATAACACCTCATTTTCCGTAATTAAATGCTAAAAATGATTCAACAATTATTCCCAATAAATATTACTTCAAGTTGGTGTACTTACGTAGTTTGTGAGCCGCGGTGCTCGACGCCGCTAAGCACATTGTGAGAAGCACAAGATACTTATTCATGGTTCGTAAACAGTTCTGCCTGCTTGAGTCAACTGCAGCTTCGGTAGAGGGGGCTCCTTAAATATAGACTTCACACAACCTTCCTAATGGATCAAACAAGAGAGAGAGATTGGCACTTATAAAGAAATTATAAATTAAAAACCAAACCACCTTCAGACGGATGTATGAAGTAACAATATCACGTTTTATTTCATTTTTTTGCATATGTCCTTATGCAAAACAAGCCGGATTTAAAATATAATGACTTTGCAATGTGTAGGTAATAATTCCTGACACATAGAACATGAACGTATATGTTATATAAAACGTCGAGTCTCGTCCTAGGGAAGAATGCTTATTCAAGATAAAGTGTTGATTAATAAATTTTTCTACGCCTGCCAGCAATGTAAAGTGGTCTAAAGGTAGGCTGTGAAGAATTCATTATAATTAATCGCGTGAAGCTACAGATCATGCTGAGTAATATTTCAGTTATAACTGGAGTTTGGGAAAACTGTACACTGAGGAGATACATAATTTGTATGTTCAACCATAAGACACACTCTCCATTATTCGGGGACTGGTTAACCTGTCTGCGAATTAATCGGTCGTCTATCTGATTCACACAAGAATTAAAAATTAATTTAGGAAATGTGTTGCAAATGTTAGGACGTTTAAAGAAAAAGGGGATAAAGACAACTGTGACAGTATGTAATTCAATAAAATGAACAAATTGATATTACAATCTGAAGTTTACGACAATAGAACGTTATTACTATACTTTGAAACATTTTTAAAATAGCTGGTTTATGCTATATTACATTTTACATAACATTCTTTTTTGTTAGTAGAATTTTAAGAATTTAAGTAGGTTGTGTGTCCGTAAATACACTTACGTATTGTTACATTTGCGTGTTTTCTTAATTTTTTCTGATTTCCAAGTGTTTCAATTGTCCGGAAAAATTTATTTCCTACGAACTCATATAATCTGGAGTTTATTTTTTTAGACGATGGGCTTAGGGGAAAAAAATTTACAAGATAGTAAGAAGGCAATAAGGCAATTCAGAGATATAAACATTGATATAACGATAGTTTTAAAGCAGATCTGAGAACGTTGACTGCATTCATTTTACTCAACTTGTCAGTGGCGGACAGTTATATTCACTGTAACGATCCTTCGATTTTCTAAAAGTAGAGAACAACAGTCACAAATCAAAATGATACTCATGTGAAAGTTAGGAGGAAATTAAATTCCGAAAATGCGTGCTACTTCTCAGTTCAAAATATTTTGTCTTCCCGTATGATATCTAATAACTTGAAAATTAATTTTACAAAACAATAATTTTGCCTGTTGTTTTGTATGGGTGCGAAACACGGTCTCTTACTCTGAGGGAAGAACATAGATTGCGGGTGATAGGGAATAAGGTGTTGAGGAGGATATTTGGGCCTAGGAAAGAAGACGATGGGGTCTGAAGAAAAGTACATAATGACGAATTCAAAATTTATACTCCTCCCCGAGTATTGTGAGGGTGATTAACGACAAGAGTGAGATGGGAGGGGAATATAGCGCGCATGGATGGAACAAGAAGTGTGCACAAGTTATTGGTTGGGAAGCCTGAAGAGAGAAGGTCGCAGGGGCTACGTAGATGTGGATGGAATGATAAAATCAAGCGGAATCTATGGGAGATAGGAATTGATGGTGATTTGATTTTGTTGGCCCAGGATAGAGACTGATGGAGGGCATAGTTTAATTCGATGATGATCCTTCAGGTTCCCTAAGGAATATTCAAAGGTAGATGTGGGTTAATATCATAATTCGATCTTTAGAAGCAGATAGTGGACTCTGCTTAACGGGCTCAAAATAAGGATCCGTGGCGGGACCTTGTATACACGGTAATGGAACTTAGGGTTATAAAATACTTTAAAATTTTGACTAGGTCGGCGACAAAGAGCTTATCAAGAAGGAGAAAATATTTTTGAAATTACCTAAGAAGATTCGGTATGCACAGAAGATACTTTGAAGTGTATTAAACGCGGCAGAAAATTCACGTTAGACCGTACCATCGACCTTCGTAACCGAGTGGTTCGCATTCTGGAAATGTCAGTTTTAATTTCGTCTAGCAGACCAGTTGTGTCGGGTATAGTGTGGTCTTTTATTGGAATTTTAGGATAAATGTTCGAATAGGTCATGACACCCTGTCCCACGAGATGTTCATTTACTTCTTATCAGTAATCTTATTAGTTGACTTATATTTTAAGTCATTAAGAGCTGGTTTTATGGAACGGAAATATTTGACATGTAACAGCTTTCCAGGTTAGTAATGCTTCCTGTGTTTTTGACACGTTTACCTTGTGCTACCTGCATGCGCAGTTTCCGATTCAGTTATGCAACTTTTCGTTTGCATCTGAAAGGATGATAATTAAGTCATTCTTCTTTCTTAAAAATATCTTACCACTATTAGCATATTACGTCTCTCTTGACACGTGTTTTGGTGAAGTTTCAACACTTTTTTATGGACGATATCTTCAAAACAAAGAGTCTTGTAACGTAGAATCGATACTTAAGGCATTCGTATTCATTCACTGTATATTTTGAAAGAAATATTGCATACAGACCTAACCGTTATAGAGATAAATGTAAAATAATATATCACCGATTTCCTACGTTATGCAATTTGCAGTTTTACACATTTTAACTTTTCTGATATCGGGGTTTGTCTTGCAGTTTATGGCGTTTAATAGTCGATGTCCGGTCATGAAAACTAGCAATGGCTGGGGGTTTGTCGTGCTGACCACACGTCATCCTATATCTGATTGGATGATCGTTCACCTCTGCTTAGGCATGTGAAAGTGAGGCCAGCAGCTAGCTAGTCGGCTTTGGCTCTCAGAGGGCTGTTACTCCACGGATTATTATTAATATTCGATATTGAAAATTATGTTTTATGGCTAAAGCGCAAGGAAAAACTTTACATCTTCAAAACTAGCCATGGGACAGTAAACACAAAGATAGCAAGAAAGACGGTCGCGGAAGTATTAATTAATACAAATAATATTTATGTTTGATTATTTACAATTCCTATTGTAATATAACTAGAGCAGACTCCCGATTATCTGGCGGCTGATTACTCGGGGCCTATCTGATAGAATTTAAAATTCCTCTCAGGGAATATTTCCGGGAATGGCTTAGGTGGACGCCGGCTTAAGGATTGCAGATCGAAGTTACGTGTAGGCATCATTATCGCTGTGGTTGCGTTAATGGCAAATACAAAACAGTGCATTGCGTTTCAGCACACACCAATTTTCCTTTTCTGTTGAAAAAATCATACACTTCGCTTCAGAAGATTGCGAGGCGATCACGAGACCGGGATGTATAAGCCTGTCACCGATTGCACTCACGTACACAAATTCAGATCATTTCCAGCGGCTTATTCAATATTAATAGTTAGCTGGTCTTTGAGAGCTTAGCAGATTTTTCACATCCCTTTTAATGGAAGTTTAGGGCAGAGGTTAATCTTGAAAGCAGGAAATTTAGAAATCTAAACACCCGATCAGGTTTCGATGCCGACTGTCTGCCGTACCAAACAATCAAAATGGTAACTAAGGGCGGAGTCCTACGCAAGCGCAAGACATCGTCTCTTGCTAGGTAACACCACTCCTGCGTAGAAACCGCATAGCTGGTAATGGTAAATAACTAAAATCGAAATTTTATAGTAGATGTTGATAAACATCTACTATACTACACTGCGCAACAACCCAGAAGAAAGAAGTCTTCATACTCACGGCTGTAAAATCCTCAAATCTTACAAAATGGAAATTTACTTACGCTAACGGGGTTTTGTGCCTCAGTACCCAAGCCTCGCTAATGTATATCAATGAATTTTGAGTTTGTCCAAATTTCAAATTTGAACCGAATGCCCTGATTGGTCCCCGTAAGTTACATGATCGTGGTGCGCGAGTAAGAGTGAACTGTCAGTTCAAATTCCATTGGTTGTCGGTCACGTCATTACCTAGAACCCGCCAAAGTAAATTTTGACCGATGTTCAGGAGTGGGAAACAACTTGTTTACCCCAAATCGCCGAGTTTTACAACCCACGGCGACAACAGAGCTGCTCTGGCCTAGTCTTTAGGCCAGCTTGCCTCAAAAAATTCGAATCTAAAACACAGAAATTTCAATTAATCTAAACATTAATTTAGATCAAGTAAATGTAATTTCCCACCCCCATTATATCTCTTCTTAAAATAAATGGAATAACAGAAAGATATCCAGTTTGCTTTACACCGTAGCAGCTTGTCCCGGAATCGATTCTCAAGATATGCTGTTACGCTGGGCTTTCGATTATCCGGGAAAATAAATTTCTCAACCAAACAGGAAATTTTGGCGTCTACTGTATTCTTTTCTTGAAAACCCATTGTTAATTCAAGTTTACGTTTTGCGGTCGAAATTGTCTTTTTATGAAAACGTATTACTAAATTAAGAGTGCACCTTAAAATCGAAGAAATATAGTTTTTAATATAATAATTCATTCACCGTCCATACACAAACTTAAAATGTTGTTAAAATTTACTTAAAATTACATAAAATTACAACATTTTTTAGAATTAGATCTTGATACATTTCACATTTGACGACATGTTTCGGTGTATTACACCATCATCAGGTCAATCAATTTAAAAACTGTTTTAAAAGCTGTTGTACATCCTGCTCCGCGTATATTGATACGTTTGACTGTTTTGATTTTCTTCCTTTTAATGCTTGGATGTTTATATCGGGTTGTAAGTGATGCGTTGCCGGGTTGTAAGTGATGCGTTGTACGTCCGATATTATGGGGCTGTAGATTGCAACTGAGCTGTGTGTGTTGTGTGTGGCTATATATATTGAGTGAAAGTTGTTCAGGTGGTTGGGTCGATGGACTGTAGAATATTAAATATTGGATTGTTTGCGTAGATGTTGCTGTCGTTTAATGCTATGTTTTGTTTATGTGTTCTTTGTATATGATATTTCTCTATTGTGTCTCTGTGTCGTTTGTTTTGTACTATTTTTATAATGTCCATTGTTTGTTCTATTTTGTTGTATGCTTTGCATATGCTGAATAGTCTTTATTGTGTT